ACTGAACTAAGCATCAAAACATTTCTGCTACTTTGACAGCGAGTGTTGCCATCACCACCCTGGAGGTGTTTTTTAAAAAAAAAACAACCATTTGTGTTTGCTTTTCAGGTGGTTGACGCGACGTATTTTCCGACATGCACACTGTCTGCTGGTGGGACTGCGCTCACCTGACTGCGCTCACCTGACTGCGCTCACCTGACTGCGCTCACCTGACTGCGCTCACCTGACTGCGCTCGCGCATCGGGGCGGAACTCCACCATGCGCGATACAGAGCAGAGGAGAATTGTACCGTGTACAGATAAAAATGACAAGCTGTTGTGTAAATAAGAACATAAGGCTATTTAGTTTGTTTAATAAAAGGACAATGTATAGACCTGTTCTAGAGGAAAGGGAACCTTAAATGACTTCTGTTGTGATCTGGCACTATATAGAGAATAAAATTTAAATTAAACGACCTTCAAGGGGGGGTGGGAGGTGCCGCCCCTAATATAATGGTAGGGGAAACACTGATGAATATAGGGTGACCAGCTTCAACACTGCGCTGTTCCACGGTTCTGAAGCACCACGGGTCTCCAATGTCAGCCCAAGAGTCCAAAACCATTGTGATCCAAATTTCCAGCTCGAACAAGATTAGGAACATCTACAGCCACTTGCTTGCCAGACACAGGCCCAGTCCCATTTCTCCTCCCTTATCCCTACCACGAGATTGAGGCCCCTCCCTTCCCAAGTCGACTTCACAGCTCATAGCCACAAGGGGTTAGGGCTTGAAATCTTTACCTAGGAATCAGGACACATTACATTAATGAGCTGCTTTCCTCACACCGCTAGTCATCTTTTTTTTTCTTGTTGTGGATTGCAATGCATTGTGGGAATTCTTTTTCACTGAGTCAGCATCTGAAAAATCTCCGTTTCGAGGGCCATCTTGAGGGCTGAACACCACTACCCCCTCGCTGCTAAAAAGAAATGGGACAACACTACCCTACGCGGGAGGGTGGGGCTAAGGGGTGGTATTGGGATTGGGCCAAAGACGACGGATACAGGAAGTGTTAATAGCCCCTTGTCAGAATCGCAGTGTCTAATTCTGTGGAAAATACCATTTTAGAGACTGAGATGGGAAAATGCTTCATTAATCGTGAAGGAAATTGCAAGTAGAACAGATCAGTTCTCCAGGATCTGGGCTGGACTGCATTCAAATCAGACAGGGCTGAAGGAACATGCATGTAATATAAGAGAGGACTTTAAGGCAATTTACCTGACTTGCATAGAAGTGACCAGTGATCTTGACAATGACTTGATCGTTCTCGTCAGGGGTTTGGTCTCTGGGTACAACCACTTCTGCACTGGTGAGATTCTGTAGCTCGTTCACCTGCAATTTGGTGAAGGTGGGGGGGCTTATTGAAGTTAGGAAGCAAGTAGTGCCAGATACTACCTTGTTTTGACAACCAATCGCCACCATATTACCATGTGTTATGTCATAAGACAACGGTGTAGCAAACCGCAGCTCTCTGAAGTCTCACCGTTTTCCCGCCCTTGCCAATCACTCGGCCGGCAGCGAAAGATGGCACTTTTATGTGTGCTTCCAGTTTTACTTCCTCCTTGGGACCAAAAAAGTTCTCCTCTTTCAACTTCCCAAATATCCTGCCTTGAGCCTGGGGATTAAGGAAACGCCATTAAAATGCACATGTAGAAATGGGCCAGCGACCCCCCCGAAGAGAGCAACGTACCTTAAACTGTGCCTCTGGTGGTCCTGCGATGATCACCATCCTCTGCTTGGCATCAGGGCCGTCTGCCGGTGCAATCTGTTGTGGGGAATGAAATAAGACACATTGCTCATTGAGGAAATGGTTTTCAGAGCCAGAAAGATCATTGAGGGCAGGGCTCTTCAAATTTGGATCTCGATTCTCAATCCAGGCCTGGCTTTCAGTTCTCACAGGTAGTTCAGGGATACTGATTGGCCACAGAGGTTTCACACCAGGCTCACAGGAAGGTTGGAAAAAAAAAAAAATCAGCAGTGCTTGAATCTTTAGGACCATGATTTGAACAACCTTGACTTGCGGCTTGAAACCCAAGGTACCTTGATCGATGCTCCGGCGAATCGTGAAAGCTGCTTGATGTGTTGGCCCTGTTTGCCTATGATGGCGCCAACAGCCAGGGCAGGAATGAACAGGTGGACAGTCTCAGATTCTGGATGCTGTTGACAGAGCGTCAGAACCAACTCAATGACACCCGTTCAACATTGTAAATCACAGAAAGGCTCTGACCTCTCTGTTTAGAACGTAAACAAGCCCCATGGTTCTGCATTACACAAAAAAAAAAAAAAAAAAAAACACACAAAGCATTATCAAAACTAAGCCATTATCTCACTCAAAAAAAGAAAGCTTGTAGCAGATGACCACAAATTGTTAAGATGGCACAAGCTAATCAGACACAAGCGGGGATGCGTGTTACAAGTCCCGAAGCTGGAAGAGTCTCAAGGATCATTTCTACAAGGCCAAAGCTGGCATGACCAAGAACTAGCATTTCGGGAGAAGGAGTTGTCCAACTGCACCCCAAGCTTAACCCTTTCAGTTCCACTACCTGAAGTTCTCAGTAAGTGGTCACTAATTTCGTATGCATATCAAAACCACTGGGTGAAAAGAATTACATTGAAGCCCCGTACACCCCAACCCTAAAAAAGGTTGGGCTATTGGACGATCAAGTCTTGAGAGAAATGTACAATTAAGTACAAATCAGCCGTTAGCTTCTGGAAACTGCTTTGTGTCAAACCAGACAGAAGTCGAAGGCTTCCAGTGCAGCCGGTCACTGGCGCTAAAAGATTGCATAGATAAAGCAAACAAGCCTGAAAGCAGGACACAGCATCAAAACAAGGAGAAAAATAGTAGTGAGTTAGACCCATTGGAGGGCGAGACGGGGGAAGAGGGCCGTTCTACAGGCGGGTTCTGCCCTGCATCCCCTCAGGCCGCACGCAGCCAGACGAAGCCGTGCAAAGCAGCATGGGAATGGCAACTTACAGCAAGGGACTGACTGCCTGCTGAAAGCACCGATGCCCAAAATGGTGCATCACTCCCAATTGGGAAGCTCTACAGGAGAAAGGCAGACATTATACAGGCTCCATCACCCTACACAGCACCTCCTGCTGGTGTGGCCCTTTATTACACGGGACCCAAACAGGCAGCTGCAGGAGAGTAGAACGGACTACCCAGCATACCAGCTGGGACAGAGTGAAAGTCAGACAGGGTACTACTTACCCCAAAGGATGGGTATCCAGCCTGAGCTCCAGGGGGAGGGACTGACATGGATGGGCTCATGCCAGGCGATGAGGTAGGGAAGAGCCCAAGAGCGTTCAGGTTCAAACCTGGGATAAGGTTAGACTGGAGCTGTAGAGGAAACAAGTTACTTCTGTTACAAAGCAAAAGGGAAACGCAAAAAGAGCCTGTCGCAGTACAAACGCAGCCAGGTGAAGTAGAGAACGCTATAACGGACATTCAAAGGCCGGACACAAACCCAAGGTTCTGACTCACATCAATTGTACTGCTAGAATAAACCAGAACTGAGACAGAACGCCGGGAAAATGGCCATCAGCTACATAAGAGATCTGGAAATCCAGCCGCCGTCAGACATCGCGGAAACCACGCACATTCATAGCAGCCACGTCGTTCTCGTAGGACTCCCTGATCTTCTTCATGACCTCTGCCTCAGCTTTGGCGCAGGCCTCGATGGAGCCCTTCACAGTGATGGTCCTCTCTGGGTTGTAGAGGGTCAAGTCCTGCAGGCTGCAGGGACAAAGGCTCCATCAGAACCACAGGCAGCGTCAGCACAACGTCTGGCCAACACAGCTGGGGAGGGGTGCCGTCGACGTACGGAGAAATCGTGATCTTCGTCTCCGTGTCCTGCTCGATCTTCTTCAAGTTCCGGCCCTCCTTTCCAATCAATCGGCCAACAAAGTTGTTGTGGGCCAAAATTTTGAGGGGAATCTCTTCCGTACTGAGAAGACATTTGCAGCGGTTAGATGAAGTATGAACATGGAAGGGCAAAAAGGATGGGGGGGATGAACTTTGGCTAACTTTTAAATGCCAGGTAAAACTTAAGAGCAGCCCAAGTGCAAGATTAGTTGCTACATGGTCATTTTGGGCCAGAGGCAGCAGTCACACTTACAACTTGGTGTCCACAGCCTCCTTCTGCATGATCTCCATGATGGTCTTGCAGGCAGCAGAGCAGCCATCGGGCGTGGAGTGCACTGTGATGGGCTTCTCCGCTGCTCCTGCGTTCTCCTTCCGGTGGATGTCGATCCTGCAGCAGACGACAGACGGCCAGAGGCTCAAAGGACGTCCACTGGAGACACGCGGGAGGAGCGAGAGCGGCCCCCGGCGGCGTACTTGGACTGCGTCTGCTTGGTGATGTTGCGGATGGTGGCCCCTTCCTTGCCGATGATTGCCCCCACAAACTGCGTGGGTACCAGCATGCGCAGAGGCACGTCAGACTGTAGTTTGGGGCGGGCGCCGGCACCAGGGGAGCCCTGCCGGGGGGGGCCACGCGCCGCGAAACCGCGCCGGCCCGTCATCGGGGGGGGCTCCTGTGCAGCCGCTTCGTCAGGGATGTAGGTCACCTTCAAGGCGTAGCTCTCCATCAGGAAACCGTTCAGCTTCTCCATTGCTCTGAGTCGAGCCGGAGGAAAACACACAAGAACCGAACTAGTCAGACGGAACAGGAAGCTCCCTTTCAGGTGTCAGATCAAAGCAGGTTTAGCGCAAACTTTCCTGAAAAATCTAACTACAAACACTAGAGGGCAGCAGCTTGCCTAATATTCACTGGATGCTATACCTGAAGCCTGTTTGAGCGCGTCTGTATTCAGAGTGTTTCTCTGATCATAGTACCACGTACAACTTAATTTCTAGTTTACTACCAGGACCACAGAAAGGAAATAATTCAGCCAAATAAGCAGCAAAGCTGTCGAATTTTACTTACTGACGAGCCTGATCCTTGGAAGCGTATCGGACATTGACAACTGCGGTCTCCGTCTCCGTGTTTACTGGGGGAGCAAACCTTAATTCACTGAAACATTTCAGAAGCGTAGCAGGATTAACATCAAGGCGGTGAACAGAAAGGGCCGGTACCTTGCTCACAGCTTTCCACACCGCCATACTGCGCCAACAAGCCATCCAGCACCTAAAACAAACAGCAAGAACGAACGGAAGCATCCGGACATTCAAATAGTAGCCAAAGCGATGTCTCGGAACACACCTGTGAAAAATACGCCCTTCTAGATCGCACACGCCAGGGGGCAGTACTCATTCCACCCCCAGACGCTGGTTCACTCCACCAACAGTTCAGGACTTTCCCTGTACCAAACCTGCTGGGCATCTATTGTGTAGATCCCATGTAAAACCCGGTGGAGGTGCTACAAAGATACCAGTCAATATTAATCCCATAAAAAGGTCAAGACAGACCTGAATGTCATAAGCCGAACTGAGCCATTTCCACCACCCAATTACAGCAACCGTCTGACATTTTTGGAACCAAAGCTTTGCACCAAAGGGGGAAGAGAGAGAAACCCGTTAAAATCCATGATCTGGTCAGTCTCAAGTCAAGTTCAAGGCTGAGAAGCACCAGACACCTTGTGCCCTCATCGCACACAGAAGACCGTCACTCTACATCGTATCCAAACAAATCCACAGATAACCCTGAACCTGAACACACTTGGTTACTCCAAATACCTTGTCCAAGGTGGATCAATTTATGTGTTTTTTTTTTTTTTTTTTAACTCCACACTGTTTAGCGCCAGTATCCTACGAGTTACAGCTTTTACACATTTTCTACACAATGCTGGCAAAAGGCTTCATGATGTTAAAACTAAGAAAAATAAAAACAACCCACTGTTCATACAAGGACTTTCATGTCATCCAAGCACACAAAGCACAACTGAAAAGGGGCCCTTTGTTCAAATGAGCCCTTTGAAGCCATTCACAGGAAGTCAGACAGACACCATGTCGCACGTCCCTCAGCACTGACATGGATGAGCAGCCCGAGTTACGTTTCTAAGACGGAATTGGTCGCCAGGCACACATCACAATTCGCGGGGGGAATAAAATGTACGACATCTGATCAAAATTCAGCAGCCCTTCCTAGGTGGGCATGCCCTACTCCAAGCCAACATACAGCCTCAACGCACAGATCTTTCCCATGAAACCCCACCCCCTTTCCCCACCCTCCTGCCACTTCAGTCCCATTGGCTCCCCAGCGGAACTGCAGCTCCCCTTGCAGGGTTCACAAACGGCCCTGACGACTGGCTGTTTCAGCAGTCCGTCAAGCCGCCAGCCAATGGCTTCCAAAGGATCCACCCATTCAAAAGAGAGGTTGGGTTGTGGGAGTGGGGGTTGGGCTGAGAGTTAAAACATGATCTCCATCTTCTCCCAGTGAGCAAACTGAATAAGGAGAGCTCTATGGGGGAAGCCATGGGGGCTGAGGGGCTAGTTATACCACAGGCTGAGAGAGTGGCTGCCAGCACCAGAGGCCCAGAACATGCATATGGAGAACCAGCAAAATGTGAAGGCATCACATAAGACGTTCCATAAGGGCAAAAGGACACCCATACAAAACAGACAGCAGAAATCAGGTCCCTCAACTCCTAGAGCTAAAAACGACACCTTAAAATGTAAAAGGTGAAACATGAAGGATCAGAGCATAACTGCCAGTCTGTCACAAGACCACAGCACCCACTGATCACAGTAAACAGGAAACAAGACCTGCCGGCCTTGCTGGTCCTCAGCCCTCCATATAAATACCAAATTGTTTTGAATAAGGCAACAAAATCAGCCCGACCCAGTGTCTGTTTAGGGGACGCAGCGATGACGCTATTGGGACCTCAGATGCTGTGCTGATTGAAAAGGTCACGTGTGCGAAGCAGCTTCCTGCATCTCAGGTGTGCACACAATCCTGCTACACAACTGATCATCTCCGCAGGTCTCAGCAATCCTGCTACACAACTGATCATCTCCGCAGGTCTCAGCAATCCTGTACACATTCATCTATGAGAAGCGGACGTAGCCGTTTAACGCTTTGCTTCCCAAGTCGTGCTGCTACAATTAGCAGCTCTGCTAGAGCGGTTGGGCCGGGGTCACGGGAACTCAAACCCCGAGTCCTGGGTGCGACGGGCTGACCCTCTGAACCTCGAATATCAGCTACAATTAAACACCCCACAGGCCAACTACAGCTCCAGGTTACAGACGCTACCCCCCCCCCCCCCACCACCAGCCTACACAAGACGTCTTTTAGCAAAAGCCACACACACACTCAGCATCCAGACGCTACTGCTGTGCATCTCAAACCTGTTTCATTTTGCTTGCAATTAGCAAGCAGTCTTGTCAAATCTACCGCTATTTAAAAAAAATGAAGAGGCAGGGTTTTGCCAGAAGGTGCCGTGCTTTGTATTCCAACATCACCCTGACCCTGCCAGGTGCCGGTCCCCACTATTCTTCCCGATTATGCTACTACGTTAATACTTTACGTAATGCATATTATTTATTTATTTATTTTTTACACCGGCCCGTAAGCTGCTTTGGAAGAGTCGGTCTCCGATTTGTGGCCATTTCCACGGAAATTACACTACGGCTCGGTGACACGTTACTAGCTACCGTGCGAGACGAAAACCATCTACCGCAAGTTAGGAGGCAACACGCGGAAGCCGGAAAACAGGAGTGCAACGCCCTGGCTTTGGGCAAAACGCGCTAGATGTGCATTAATGCCAAAACTTACAAGCGCCAGATTTGTCTAGACTCTTCTTCCCAACAAATGAAGTTCATTTCTTGGCAGGGTTTAGAGCATTTGGAATGCAAGCTTTCAAACTAACCTATATTTGCGCAAAACGACTGGAACGCATGTATGCATGGACCACTATGTGTTGGGCTCATTATATGACAATTAGAGGGGGAAAAACAGTCCAGATGGTTAGTGGGGAGGGGGGGGTCTGAAACTCCAGCACAAAACCACCCAGAAAATCTACAAGACAGCACCCCCCCAGTCTAATACAACCAAACACCATCTTTTTGTCATCCAATAGCAAAACAGCATTTCATAAGAATACATTGTAACATGAATAAATCAGCCCCCTCCACTTTACGCATCTGCTCATTTCCCTGCCTACTGATGAAACCCGGCACACTCCACCCACCCCCCCCAGAAGCGAACAGGAATGCACCTACCTCCCACTGCATGTGTGGTGGGATATTCCGGATCTGCAGCTTGCAGCTCCTGGAAAGAGATTCCATGTTAGTGCCGGTCACATCCCAGTAGAACCAGTCCCACACAACACCCTAACACACTTACCACCCACAGCAGCATCAAACCGCACAGGTTCCCACTTAGAAGAAAAAAATACAACCCACCTGTACCAAACAAATTAGTGAACAAATGGTATAAGAGGGAGCGGAACTGTTATTTAATGTGCCGACGGGAGTCTCGTCAGATATGCTGAACTGCTTTACAAACCCTCATTAGAATCTGCAGCGACACACGGACGTTAGCGGTCCAACGCCAAGCACATGAGGAGGAGTCTACACTGGAACTGGTGCTGCACTGACAGGGACAAGATTGGTAGGAAGGTCAGGGGCTCCCCTCCCCCCCCCCATGCAGCGGAGCATGAGCCCGAGAGCCCCAGTCATTCACTGCTACTACTACACTCATCGTGTCCATCATAGCGAACGGCAGATTCGAGACATAGCCCCTGTGGTGGTTATCAGGACATAACGTGGAGGATGAAGGACCTTCGCTGCTAGCTCACCTGTTCACTCTCATTGCACGCACACCTACATCCTCACCACCCCCACCCTAGCAAAAGGCTGAACACCAAGCCTACAGTTTGAAGAACACTTTTTGCATTTCTCAGAAGGCAAAGCTGACCGTGCTCCTAAACAGAGCCGCTAATAACAAGGCTCTTCAGTAGCCTTTGCAGACCTGCAAGCCACAGCCCCAACCCCACCCCAAAAGGTCAGTGTGAGCGGATCGTCACAGCACCCAGTAGCTATGCACACCCAGTGTATGCCCCCCAGCGGTGTACAGCCCGTCTTGTGGCTGCTACGAATGAGGAGGAAGATCTCACCCCAAAGCAGCTACAACATCTGCTTTTTATGAAGGGGAACCTGTGCCTATTGCCACCATCATCACACTATGTACCCAAAACATTGTCCTTTATTAATCCCTGAGGGCAAGTTAATCTGTTTTTACCTCAGTAACCCGTCTTAATTCACATCAAGCTTTTAATATGCAAGTTTTGATTTTAACCAATCGAAACAATCATTTATACATAAATTTCCAAAACCTTCAGCTGCAGAGCCCAATAGGCCTCACCAGGCAGAGCACGTTACATGCCTATTTGTGCAATTAAAAAAAATAATTCTGTAGCTCGTGGGACAATTCGCTTACCTTTGTCCTTCATTCAACAAACCCTAAATTTCACAGCACATTCCAAGTGGACACTGATTACGGGTTCAAATTAAAGTCAACACCACAATGCTGAACCAAACCTCCAAATTCATACAAAAAGGAACAATATTACTTACAGCACATTCTCAGGTAACAGGATAACGTGAGGGGGGGGTAAACTGAAGACAGCAACACCCCCCTCTCCCCCAAATGACACACAAAGCATCAGGTAAGCTATTAACATGCATGTAAAGACAAGTATAAATACCATGTTGACCATGATGGATACACAACCTATTCTGCAACTACGTGAAGAAACCAGGTTGTCCAACTAGACTTGACTGATTTGCAATTCGCCTCATGCAGCTAGAAAATGCAGGCGGCACAATTTCAGTGCAAAGCTTGTCATTTACAGCAAGGGCAAGCCTGAATTTGTATCAACATCTAAGGTCTCAGCAACTGTTCCTCTGTACCGGTCAAGCTGTTAATTATACAGAGCACCTACGAAGGACACAGAAAAGTATGCATCCAAATCGTAAGAGCAGACCAAGTAATCCAGATAAGACCACAAAATTTCATCATTTCAGATTTATTCACATTGAGGAAGCCAAACTTCAGATTAAGACAACGGCATTGCTGCAAGCAGTTGCTGTTCACCATTGCAGCAGAATTTAGTGCTGCCTAATTCATGAATTTGACAGGTAATTTTTATAAAGCTCCTCCTTCAATCTGCATACTCTGAATCTCAAATTTCCAACACTAAAACCTTAATGAACTCCTCACACATTATATGGCCATCCCGTGGCATTCAAAATGTGTCAATAATCCAGTTAAATCCCAGGACATACATCCATTCTGAAATTTTATAAAAATGCATTCACTACCACCTTCCAGGTGGAGCACACACCCTTAGCACTAATGAGGTTTTCCTAAAATCCCCAAATATAGCCCCGCTTCTGCACACCAACCATAAATTCCCCACTCGTTACCAAAAATGCCACGAGCAGCTACGTCAAATTCCTCCTCCCTCCGCTTCAGCGACGGATGACATAACACGCTCGTGAATTCCAACTAGAAACACACAGCTCTGTGGGGAAAGAAAATTCCATACATCCGCCCAGTAACTTCATTTCAACACTGCATTGTTCCATACTGCTATGTGGAATACATTCTCACAAAATTCACACACTTGACTAGTTTAAATTTAGTGTATAGAGAATAGTACAAGCGGTGGACTCGGAGGGAGGAAGTAGGGATTTTCCTAGGCGCTGAACGCAGGGCTACAGACAGAAGAAAACACTACCCTATAGGCTGGTGACCGACAGAGGCCCCATTTGCAGCAAGGGGGGGGGGAGGGGCTTTGTTGCCACCATGATATTGGCTGTACGCTGTGTGTGTGCGCTTGGGGGGGGGGGGGGGGCAGAGCTGGAATCCCATTGATCCAAATCCTCCAGGCCTCTCAGGCAAATACAACCTGTTCATAGAAAATATTTATTCCACACAACACCACTCCCACCTACCCAAAAAAATCTAAATTATATATTTTATATATTCATTCAACAGCATCGGTACCACAGCAGTGCATGAAGCAACTGGAATGCAGCTGCATTTGAAACAGCAGTACAAAAAAAAAAAATTATCTGCAGAGATGCATGCGGCATACCTAAGCTGCCATTTCCAACTAAATCCTCACAAAAGTAACCGCAACTTTTGCTATGAAGTTCTGCGTGCAAACTGTCCCTGCCACCACCTGTCTGATATCCCCATAGCCTCAAAACTGCACTTAAAAAGTTTAAGAAATTAATCAAAACATAGAACCCAGAAATTCCACGAAATTTCCCTCAGAATGGCGGATTCACGCCCTATCCTGGTCAATGATCATTTCAGGTGCTTGTCTGGCCCTCAGGCACCCAAGCAGTTCAACTCAATTTTGTTGTGCAGAACTGCTTTAAATTTGCCATTACCAAAATAAGCCTGGGGGAGGAATTCATTTTAATATGGAACCGCCCACAGGCACCTAGGCCAACAATCAGAGGGGACACGTTTGGTACCAACTATGACTAGCAAAGAAAATTATATCCAAAAAATAGTTTAAGAATGAAGTCAGATTCTGTGGCCGGTGAATATCCTAAAAGTGTGCGCAAGTCTAACATTTCCGGCCGTAACCCAACTCTTATGACTGCTTTGGTGGGGGGGGGGGATGAACTAATGCTTACGTACACGCACACATTCTTAGTGGGATCTACACTTTCTCCTCCCATGCACAGTCTATACAGATTCTGTCCTACAGCTGCATTCCTATTCCCCCATACCCCCCACCCCCCAACATTATTGCAGAAAACATTTAGGTGCCCAACATTCGTTTTTTTTGCATGCTGCTGGTTCAAAGGTCAATCAAACTGAAGCGGTTAAGAACCAGGCCTGAGACGACTCAGACAGGAAAATATCACACAGAACAGGACAGGAGCTGATCAAGGAGCTAACACACACCCAAGCACAAGTACACATCCCAGTCACACAAACCATGAGGAACCAGGACCCCAGAACACCCAGGAACAGACCCATTGCACAAGTCACAGGACTCAATTACACATTTCAGGGCACAATTTTACTATTTTATCCATTTTATTTTTTTACTCCAAAACAGGGGGGGGGGGGGGGCACAAACGTCTAGCCACATCCCCCAAAATGAATTTTTCATACTACAGCAATGTGCTCGCATATACTACCACATACACCCATATTAAATGGCAGCTACGTAAAAGAAATCACGCGCTATACTGCAGCAAATTTCAAAGCAACGGTCAGGACACAAATTATAACCTACATCCACAATACACTTATTTAAACGAAAAAAGGTTCAACGTATTTATGGGTTTAATTACACTGCCGTGTATATACAAGATGAGCGTTTAATTTATAGCTTACATAGAAAAATCGCTAAATTCGCCCACACTTACTCGCTAATACACACCGATGCAATAAGTGGCCAAAAAAGGGGCAGAGAAAGTGTCACCCAGCAATCATTTAAAATTCACCTAACCAAGGATAACAGAAATACGTATTTAATTTCTCAATTTAATGATGAAAAATAATTCGCGCCCAAATAATCCCTTAAAAATTCGCCAGTTATTCCCTCCTTCATTGCGCGAATTAACGTAAAACATGTAACGTTTTTAGAAATATTCCAGGACTGCGTCACAATTTCACAAAAATGGAGCTACAATATCGCTGCAGGCACATAGATGCTTCTTTCAGATGTACGTGATGGTTTGTATTTAAATATGAGGGCCAAGATAAAAGAAAAGATGACGCGCCAGCTGTTGTGGGGCCTCACGCGGAATATGGCGACTAGGCCTCGGCCCCCCCGCCCTGAAACTGCAGCACACATGGCGTGAAGCGGCCTAAACCTGCAATACTAACGCACCACATGCACTTTGTGGCAGCATTTTTTAAAAACACGCAGATACGTTTAATTGTCTAAAACCTTAGAAGGGGAATTCTTCGGCGGATTCCCATGCATATTCGCAGAGCCAGCAGCCACATGGCATTTACACAAAACCCCCACTACGAATCACGCTTTTTATTTCCGCCAAAAAAATGTAAGGGATGTACAGAGAATTACTCAAAATACGCGATGCTGAACGCAACCAGAAGCACACCCCCAAATTTTAGCCCCCCTAAATACACCCTTGTATTTAAATTACGTCCACGTGTTTGCTGAATTAATACAAACAAGTCGGTCACACCATTTCCTGATAACACCAAAAATACCCATTAATTTTAAAGTCCCGGGCACAGAAGAAACTTAAATGCAGTTCCTTATTTTTTCAGGAAAAACACACATTTAAATCCCACATTTGGGCAGACGTACGATCCAATTGAATGGGTTTGGTTTTGTTTTGATTTTTTTTTACCTTTGTCTTTTTGGTACAGAGTGCTCCACTTCAAGAAGTTTTCCATGGAGTTCTACTTTACCTAAGATGAGGGTAAAAAAATAAATATTTCTGATTGGTGGAGGTGGATCTAATAGTGCAACAGAAGATCCTGGAGATACGAAAATAGCCAAATTGAAAATTTCAGCGCACGAAATTTCATATAGATTTAAAATGCACGCTGTTTGGTCAGTTTATACAGTATACTGGTCAGTTAAACTGGTAATGTAAACTTCATACCACGGTAACAAATTTTACGCTTAACATGGGTTACTACTACCAATTTCTTAAAAAATATATGTAATGAGCATTACAATTCTTCCGACCCATTCCTTACGTCGTGCACAAATATGTATAGTACTACTTTATTTTAAAAATTAAGTCAATGTGTCATGTACACTGAATTTCGGTGGCCTACATTTTTACCAACACAGCTTAACCACCTGGTATAAGTAATTCAAATAGTAAAAAGCTACCAGAGGCCACACGAACACTGTTTAAAAAAATAGTCATGGTAATGATTTTAGGAGATCTGAATCACAGGTATGACGCTCAAGCCATTTAATTTAATCTTCCGCAAGTGCGGAAGTCCAAAGCAAGAAAGTAACAAGACAGCGGAGGTTATTTAAACCACAAACACTGACTATTTACACGGTGACACTGGCCTTGCAGTCAAACGCGCTATGGAGTTACATTTCATAAAAGCACGGCGCTCTCATTCTCCGCGCCGGGAAAACGGCACTTTCCATTCCACGACCTGTCGTTTCCTGAGACAGAAACTAAATTTTTAAAAGGATCGGAGTGTGCCAAAGTAGTGAGATCCGAAGTGGATGGTAATATATGTGATGGAGGGAGGAGGGGGGGCCTTTAGTTACACCCTCAATCCTTACATTAAAGAGGCACATCCATCCGATTTAAACAGTGCCGCTTGCCTTGCGAGATCTGCTACATTAAAAATTTAGGAGTCAAATACGACTCCGGATCTCCAAACTAAGAGGTGCACAGCAAACGATTTGACTTACCTGAAAGAATATCGATGGCCTTCATAGCTACCTTCTCGTCTGGGCAATCCACGAACGCGTAACCAGTTTTAACAAGAAACGGCCCATTGAAAGGGATCTTCCACTCTTCGAAGATACTTTGCAACTCCAGCGGGCTGGCTTCTTCACTCAAGTTGCCGATGTAGAGCTTATTCATGGTGTTCTGCACGGGGAAACGCTAACCTGGCTACAGGAAGAAAAAAAGCTTATTTATTCTGTCAGATAGTCTTGTCGTGAAACGCACTATTACAAACACGGAGTAGCGAGCCTGTTACCTATTTAGGTTGCCTATCGATGTATTTTAATGAGTAGCCTGGCTGTGTATTACGCTCCTTCGCCGCGTCTATCGTGCAAAATAAATAATCTTAATCATTTATTCAGCCTTTCCTAAGGATGGCGAGTTGGGCAAAAAAGGAGGAGAAAACTACTTTTTGTCTTCCCCGAACCCCTTTTGGCAAAGAGACTGAAAATGTCACACACGTTAATGCTAGCGCCGCCTCTAAATAAAATCGAGAAGAAAAAATCACTTGAATATTCCGGCTTTTTTGAATGAGCCACGTGTTCAAACTACAAATCAACTTCGCACGTGAGGAATCCCAGTTCCCCAATTAAGCCCCGGACTGGGAAAACGGTACGGGAAACTGGGGTGGGGACAGAGTGAGAAAGGAGGAGAGGTTTCGTGTTTGTAAAACCTACGTGCGTTGAGGGATTTCTTGTGTGCGGCTGTATCTTTCTCCAGAATCACATTTGAGTGTCTTTCATTGTAAGCCTTGTTTCTCATTGGCTAGTGGTTGAAATAGTACAGCGCCATAGCATGCACGCTCGCAGTAGGAAATATATGGGGGTTGGGATGGGGGTGCGGAGGGGATGTCTCTGCGGAGTGATGTATGGTGCAGTTGATAGAGGAAAGGGGGAGGTGCCATTCATAAGTGCTATCAATTCTACATGTTGTACACTACCTAGAACGCACATGTTAAGAGGACAAATTTTACTACGACGACAAGCACACGTTTGGTATTCCCTTCTCGGCATCCATCTTCTCTTTAACAGTTTCAGACTGCAATACAATCAACAAAACACGATTATTCGCCACTGTATGAGGCGTATCGGTGTTTTTCAGGAATTATGTCACTGGGCTGTGGCTGCAGATCGACCGTTTGTTGCTTTTTCCATTGATAATGGCGAATCGTGTCTTAGGCGTGTGTACGTAAAGGCCTCTTCTGTCTACAAAGAAAGGAGTAGCCCTGATTTTCAGTCAGTGGGTGTGGAGAGGCAGAAGAACCCTCCACATGACCAATTCCCTTCTTTATTTTATTGGTTTTATCAATTTTTTGCTGTTGTTATTTTTAAAAAAAGAATCTCAGCATTAAAGTCATGATCCAACAGAATTGGGCGATGCTTGCGCAAAATAAATACTAAGTTGTTATAATCGTTCCATTAGGCTACAGTAATCATAATTCTCGGCAATAAAAATGATTAGGACTTAAGCAGACTCTCGACGTAAAGCACGGCAAACACAGGGCTAATATATTTTTAAACATAATATTGTTATAGGCTTAAGCGTATTGCGTATATTACATGTACGTTCATCTACGTTACATTTACGTACACATTCTGGATGCACAAAATAATATTTAATACCTCGGTCTTAATTTAACACATCCACGCGCTTTGCGTTTATTTTCGTGTATTTCTGACTTTTATGCAGACTGCTTAGCGTAAGGTAAGCTTTAAATTGTATTGTACACGGTCTCCTCCAGTGGTCATCGCCCATGTCCTCTCCCTGAATACTGATGGATAGAGATCAAGGTTGTCTGTGTGTGTGTTTGTGTTTTTAACGGTACAATCGGCCATATTACATCATTAGCAGCAGTTTCCATTCGAGCACCACACGCTACACATAACCCCCACCCCCCAACCCAGCACCGCCCCGGGTCAGAGGTCGCGTTACTTTGCGCAGCGCTTACAACAGTTTAAATTTCGCTATGGTATACGGCCATTTACATTTGTTTTCCCAACGCCAGTGTGTAGCAGTACGCATTCAGTAGAATAGTCATAATGCATGTAAAAATATAAAATAGATTTTTTTTTGTTACAATAAAACTTTGTATGTGGCCTAGAATGCCACTTTAATATTGTGGGGAATGATATTCCCAATCTCATCTGGTTCAGTATAGTTACACTTCTAGTGCGACTGCCAGATATGGCATGTGCTTTTTATCCTTTCCCTTGCGCTACAAGCTAAATTAATATACACATGTAAATAAATAAAGAATATTAGCGGTGTGGATCCATTTTTGTTTACGGTCTGATATAACACACAGCCTACGTTATGGTGGCCGTTCTAGTACTCGCCTTGTGCTGGCTGTAAACAGCCTTTCGTCCTATTGGCTGGAATGATCGTCCAATCAGAGAGCAGATTCTCTAGTACTACTTTAGCCGGCTTCATCCAAGACCGTTTATTCATTGGCTTTCCCACATCACTGTCTTTTACAAATCAGGGCGCGAAAAGGTAACTTGTAACTATTTATTCAAATAAATATTATCACGAGTTAAAGACCTCGAACGAATTTTAGAAATAGATCAAGTAGTTTTTTTCCCCCCACACGCTGGGGGTTTATTGTTCATGCCGATTAAATTGTACTCGGCAGTACGTTAATATTCTATACATGGTCATGAAAGAGTTATTTCAAATAAAAAACTGAATTATATTATTTAGTTGGTTTAATATTTGCACAAAGATAGGTCTATAAATAACGTAGAGATTTTTACTTCGAAACAACCGATGTCTTTGGCTAAATATGGCATATGGTTATATTAAAGCTGAGTTATCCAAGTGTTCTATACGGTTTACTTTACGTGTCAGAATACAGGCAATACTACATGAAATTAAATTCTGTGTAAGTATGTCGAAATAAGAAAACAGGCGATTTTCTTCCTGTTAACAATATTTTATCTTCACTGTCTATTTGCTGGCATGTTTAAACCCAGTAAAATGATTTCGTTAGAATTCCTGCTTACCAGTGACTGGCTAGTTTCAGAAGTTTAAATGGTTGCAAAATGCTGCGATTTCCGAAGCTGTAATGTATTGGTAAGTGCTGAAGGCATGCATTTCTCTTGAAGGTAATGCGGGAAAGGTTGCTTTGTTAGCCCAGGAGGAGCCCCCCTCCCATGCATATTCGAGAGAAAGGACTTCCATATTTGTTAGGCTGTATGGTGTATAACGTATAGCGTAAGGAAACCGAGCATTTTCTCGAGTGTTTCACCTTCACCGCCTTGCATCTTCATAAGGACACGGAAAACTAAAATTGCATGCGCTGAGATAATTGCATAATTGTACGTCTAATCGTAGGATTGCAGCTAAGAAAAAGAGCCTCATGCTGTTCACATATCTAAATACTATATATTTTTATTTTTTTCCGAAGTAAAATTTCGAAATTAACGCGAATTACACTAGGTAAACTCTATCCAATCTGTGAAGTTTTTGGAACTGATCGTTCTGTGTCTATATGTTTAGACAACGAATCCAGCCAATGTGTATGTTCGAATGTATGGATCTTTCTGAGTTAGCTGAACGCCATATTGAAGTTAATAAAACGCTAAAAACAACTTGCTGTGGATTCGGTTATTTGCAGTTATACGATACCGATCAATCATATGTATTTAGTGGACTGTAAGGTAACCTTTTAAACTAATCATCCAAGTTAATATTCTCTATTGATGTATTTTAAACGGTTCTACATAGAAAATGAATGTTTCCGTTTTCTCTGGTCCCCTTCCTCTAAAGTTTTCCACTTGACAAACACATTTGTAGGATACAGCCTTTATGGCGTGTTTTCCCAGCAGAAATGGCGGATGTCTTATACATGCACATTACATGATTCAGATTTTGTCATTTCGTAATTTTCGTAGAAGGATACTATAATTAGTGTTTACTTATTTTTTTGCAAAAACTTGGATAAAACCATTAATGCTTATTGTGCCGGGAAAAGTATACCAGGCTGCGATTGTGCTCATTAGAGAAATGTGTAATAAACAGGATTAAATCTGAACATAGATTATGTTTTAGTTGTTATGTATTGGACAAAGAATCGTTGCAGGAGGCATTTTTCTCTGTGTCTGAATGTATTTTAAAACTGCTATTTGAAATAATTTCCAGCAGGAAGATTCTTATACTGTAGGTTCTATATATAATGATTTTAAGTACTAAAATGTTTGTTTTTCTCTCAGTACAATTTATTAGTGCACAAATCAGTAATTATACCAGGCCATGCTTTTTTGAACAGAAAATGGCGGTTCCTGGAAGTGTAAAATAATTGTTTTGGTCACATTGCTTTGGGTAAGGAAATGTAAAGTTGTATTTAATAGAGTAACCTTTTTCTTTAAACAACAAGCTAAGAACATTTATGTTTCAATAATGTTTTTCTAAGTAATTAGTAGCTGTTAATTTATATTTTTGTAGCATTTTAAATACAGCTTGTTGTAAAGTATAAAGTTATAAAACAAGTACGCTGGCGAGAAATTAGAATTAAACGTATAGTTTTAACACAGCAGTATTTGTTTATTTTTCTGCCATATTCTAATCTTATTCGTACGTAATTTCCGTTTTGATCCAGAAATTAATATAAAATAAATAAGATACAATACTGTACGACAATATACACATACATACGACAATATAACGTTGTTTATATTTATAATACAATTGCCTTTAAATTATAAAATGGAAACCAAACCCTGTTGGCGTATAGTTTTCTGCTTTAATAGTACTTTAAATATAACATGCTTAAATGTTGTTTGGGTAAATCGCCAGTTCTGCTGTTTACTGTACTGTTGTGAATCATCATTTTGTTTTAAAAAATCAAAATATAAAATTCCATTTAACTTTCCATGACTGTTCACTTCGGGGCTGTGGATAGACTTACAATAGTGGGGGAAACTTAAGAAATAAGTAAAAAATGGAATTACGTTTGATTCCTTGCATTTAGCTGTTATTGATGTAGCATTACTGGGATGTCGAATGTAAAACAACCATGACACAATATGTACATTCTGCTTTCTGCACAAATACCTTTTTTTGAAAAAAATCAGAATCACCAAGTTATCAAGAATGAGATACATTTGTATTTTTGGCAAAAGAACAAACAATGACAACTCATGAAATAGTTTATACAAGTCTGACAAGTCATGGAGTGGCATGTGACAGCAGATGTTAAAATACCACAAGTGGGACTTGTGTATATCGGATGCAGGGAATCATTGAATCATAAAATAAACAATTTCATTAAAACCTTTTTGTGTGTGTACATAAACGCTCAGGCAAAGAAAGATGTGATGACCACTGATAGCATCTGAACAGAGTACAGGGATTAGCACCCGTGTATGGCTTCCATTGTTGTGTTGTGCTGTATTCAAATATACACATTCATGCTGTGGCACAGGTGACTTCTATAACCTTGCTACTAATGCATGTCAAGCTGTCCACTTAAACGCAGGTGAGACGTACATAAACCCGGGTGTGTTTCCCAAAAGCTCTCCAGTAGCTTACATGGTTGCACCAATTCGGTTGCATGGATCCAACTGTGTAAGTTGCTAATGTATTTAGAAACTATGCTTTTGGGAAGCTCACCCTTCAGTGGCTGCTGCTCGGTGACACTGCAGCCTGACAACTCGGTTGATCAATGCTGGAGGCCCAGAAGTCCAATAGACACACTGATAAGAGGTAAAGTGGGCTGCTGGGAACAAGGGAGAGAGTGTTTATTTTTGTGTTTGCATGTGGTAGATGCCCAAACTGTCTGGATATATCCAACTAAATAACTGATCAAAAAAAAAAAAGCCATGAAAGTTACGAGGAAATAACAACAAGGCATGTATGCTTATTTTACATCATGTCGAACATTTCTGAGAAAACGAGATAAACGCACATTTAAAATTTATTTAAAGAAGTGAATAGGACATAATATACTAGTTTTGGACAATGTCATTTTAATTGTGTTTCAAAAACTTCATCCTGGGTACATGGGATCATTTAGCAAACGCAACTCAACGAAGAACCATTTATCTTAATATTCAAATTTAATTGTCATGTAAAACACACATTAATCTAGGTCATTCCACAGACAGTACTATTTGATATAGTACAGACTGTCATATGTGAACTTAAATGTGCTCAGGAAACAAGATCAAATATTTTTTAAGTGGATTGCAGTGAATTTCAACATTATTTTCAGCAGTGCAGTTTATCGCCATGGTTTTGCTGAGATTCTTTATATATAATAAAACTCTCTGAGAACTGAAGGTGAAACGCAAGTGAGTTAGTTTTTACTAGATAATTTTAGAGTTCATTTGTAGTAACTCAAGCAAATGCTATCTGGATCGATTGTGCAAAAAAATGCACTTTTTGGTGAAGTATTTATTTGAAATTGGGTTATAAGATTAATTTCTGTATCAGCATATTATGAAAAAGCAGGAAAGTTGATTTTCTGAATTGTATAAAGAATTTTCAGCATTGATCTCATGCTACCATAATGGTGCTTGAAGTTAATCGAAAATACCGTCTTTCAGGTGGCGCTATTTCCAAAGTGGAGGTTCTAAGCAGATGTAATGTCAACTAGGCAAGGACATTGATTAACCTATACTGTATGTGCTTCTAAAGCTTATAGCACGACACACTGTATCCCTTTGAACTGACTAGCTCATATTTTTTCCATATTGATCCAGCTGTTTACTTCCCCTCTGGTCTGCTCATCATTTACGTTAAGCTTTTAAAATCCTACAAGTTTTCTCTTTACCTCAGAAAATGTCTGAATTGGTAGAGAACCCTCCCCTCTGAGTGGCCAGTGATTTTGATTCTTGCCCAAGACAATTGTTCAAAATACTTGAATAAATGTGAAACTGCTTATCATTGTAGCATGTTTAATATAAAATGGAGGGCATAGCAACACTCAGCTCTTGGACCAGCATGGCTACCATATAATCTAGGCTGCCAGTCTCCCAATTCAGCTACAGCCCTTACCAGCCAGATTTTGCGTTTGCATTTCTGTTGAGCAGGCGTGGTTAAATGCTTCTCCCAGACAGACCCCACATTCCCCATCCCCAACCCTTAGGTTGACTGCGATGGAGAAAATGCTTCTCTCCCCAACTATTTGACAGTACAGACAGCTTGAAGGTTTGCACCACAGCCAGCTGACCAGCACGAACCAGTAATTGTTACTGGTGACTCAGCTATCAGAAAGGCAGTCTGATGTTTTCCAGTAACCCCGGAGATGCCCATGCTGTGGATGTCTCTGTGTTGAGGTAATCTCCGCATCTGAAGTAACCACACCCAATACCTTACAGATCAATGTCACTTTTGACTTCTGCCTTATACCCACCGTGAGTTTCTGCATGAATGATTTGCAGTTACATTTAGGTGACTACTTCCTGGCCACCACTTCCTGCATATGAATGTGTTGGTTTTTTTTTTTTTTTTTTTACTACTGTTTAGTAGTGCTTGACACAAATTGCAGGGAAAATTATTGGTGGCACATAATCCCCCGATTAACCAGTGGGGAAATGTCCCGCACAGCAGTAAACTGTTGCATATTTGCAAAATTGACATTGTTCAGCACAAAATTTGTTCAGACTAAATGGGATTGAATATAAATCCTGTTTTACAGATCTTCCCCCGTTAGTAAATTCCTTTACCAATACTCGAATTATTAGGGGGGCAGTCGTGTGCTATTTGCCGCAGTCGTACATCGGTTTGGACATTTCGCACAAGTTTAAAATGTACTTAAATGTATAAAACTAGTTTAAGTTAGACACCAGGGCTTATCGCATTAATCCATAATTTCCATAACATTTCAACATTACATTTCTAAGGTCTAACAGGATCACCGCAGATGTCTAGTTTAAAACTAAAACCCATCTTACTCAATAATCCACTCCGGCTTAAATGCAGTTACCGTAGTCTTGCACAGCATTGTGAGAAAACAGGATGTCTTTGACTGCCAACAGACCCAGAACATGAGACCGAAATATCAACTGTTTATTTCGTTAAAAAGAAATACATCCTATCAAAATAAAAAAAAAATCCAAATGACAGAAATAAACCTTTAACTTAAGCAGACACGTTTCACATTTTGTATAATAAATCATTTTAAACATTGTTAGGAATTGGGAGGAGATGTCCTAACAAAATGCCACCCACAGTACCATTTTTAAGCTTTCAAAAACAGACTCTTTTGTTCAGCAAGACTTAAATGCTATACACAGATGCACAGAAAAGTGTAGAAATTAAGATCTCTAAAAAGACGTAAACACCTCACCCAACTGGATAATCCCACTGAAAAGAGCTTAAATGTTACCCAGCTTAGATTTAATGTAAATATTGCAATGCCTTAAAGTGGTGGTTTCATTAAAGATCAAACATGAGTAAAAGAGATCCTTGAGGTCCAAGCGTCTTAGTATCGTCCTGGGGGGAAAAAAAGGCCGTTTCAGAGAAAGTTTTTCATAAAATCTTACAACATCAATGCGTAGCCTCTGTGGTACGGTAATGTTTTATGAAAGACCACTAAGCTCATACTGCTTAATTTACAGGCAAAAAATATCACCGATTATCACAGTATAATTAGGGAGCTACAAATATTGGTCTAGTAGCAGTACAAATGCCCAGTAAACCACATGCATAAAGCATCTCTTCAATAACAGATTATTTCATGTGGAGGGTCATAATGCAATTAAAAGATGGACCCAGTTAACATTACATTGGCTTATTTTTAAATGGGACGGCTCCATTAAAAGTGTACTTACGGGGGCTGTACGATCGTGACCTGGAGCGAGACCGGTATCTGCTGTAGTACGGGGATGGAGACCGCCTGCGACTGGAAATACCGACAGTCAGGACTGGGAAACTACTTGGGTACCAGGAGATAACCAATACTCTGAACTACTGAGGTAAAATTAACATATAACCGGATATCCAAAATATACAACGTTGATGTTAGTCATGACCTGTGTACAACAATTAACACAGTTCACCCCAGAACTTAGGTGTCCATAACATTTACATGAGCTGCTCTGCTGAAAGCGAAAGTTTCGCTGCATTTGTTCACCTGTATCTGTAGTCATACTCGTCGTATCTGTCATAGCGATCGTATCCACGCTCATAATACGAATCGCGTCTCCGGCCACCACTGCTGCTGCTCCCGCCACTGCTGCTGTGGGAGAGAATCAGTCACCACTAACACAAAGTGCCATCTATTTGGGACCATATTCCTGAAATAACCGAAACTCAGCATGCGTAAATACTTAATCCAGTCAGGAGATAGGAACTCTTTGTAACACATGAAATCCCAACTATATTAAGCATGCACCATTCAGTCATGACAGAGAGAACTACAACATAAGAACAATGTTCTTAGAGAAGCTCTTCCCGAACTCACTGTGTGGGCCGTCCCATGTAAATGCCTGGTGTGGGGGTGTGAGGCCGCTTGGTGATGGAGTAATCCACTCTGATGCGTCTTCCATCTAGCTCCATGCCATTCGCTCGCTCCATTGCCTGCCATGCAGAGTTCAGCCAATCAGCATTTCAATAACACTAGCGAACAGATGAGGGAGGCCTATCAATGAATGACTAACAATTCCAATCCACTTTACGCCTTGGGATATGTAACCCATAGCCATCTATGCATTAAAGGGTGTGTGCGTCCCTGTTTTATGCTACCAAGGAGTAGCTATAAAGTAATGATACAAGACAGACCTCATAAGGTATAACAGAGCTCTCTACATTGAATTATGAGGAGGTTCTATACAGACAATACAACAAGCCAACTTTCTATTACAGAAATACTGTCTGAAAAACAGCAAAAATATCAGGCCACCAACAACTTCACAGGGCGAGATGACCGCACCTCTTTGGCGTCGTCGATCCTCTCGAAGTAGACGAAGGCGAAGCCCCGGGAACGGCCCGTGCGTTGGTCATACACCACGTTGACGCCAGCTAAGGGTCCATAGCGGGAAAACACCTCACGCAGGTCACGCTCTGTGGTGTACAGGCTCAGCCCAAACACCCCGAGGCAGGTATTGGGGTCTGGATTGGCCTGTGGTAAGGGGGGAACCAGGGGGACAGAGCTCAACATCTAGGGAGGGAGATCTATGAAGACAGCTGATCCTGACAAGAACTGTTGTGGGCGGATACAAGGTACATGAAATACAGGCTGCATGGCTGTAAAATAGCGGTAACAACAATGTGTGACTAAGCCCCCTACACCTAGCACTGTTTGCATTTAAAAGCTTCCACATCACCAAACTGTCCTCCATGTCACATCCCCGCACACACAGAAAAGGAGCCAGAGCCCTTAACAGCCGGTAACCAGTTACTATCACACTAATATAAAAAAAAATCGTGCACAAACAGAAATAAACCAACAAAATACCATCCCATCCTTAGCAAAACAGATCAAACCAACATCAATGATAAAGGTTTCTGGTGACGACAGTCAATATTTATGTCTGCACCTAGGCCCAAAGACATTTTCTCCCCATTATAACAAAAAAAAGCTTAGCAAAGAATTTCAGTATTTTCTAAGCGATTCTGCATTTACATTTGGCACAGGAGAGTACCTTATAGGAGTCAGAAAGCGTCTGCATCCAGCTATAATTATGTTTCCATTAACTTTACAGGAAATGTTTCCTTGTTCGGCTGAGAATGTTTTTTTAAATTGACAGCTGTTATTCCACATCATTCTTTAAGAAATATTAGCATAATATCCCCAAACATCAAATATTCCCCTTGAATGGTACAAATTTGAAAGGTTAATTAAAAAAAAAATATATGAACCCCATGCCAAGCAAAATAAGCAATATAATAAATATCTGTGGGTAACTGTTTGACAGTTTTAATAACCCCTTTTTAAATCTGAGCACAAACACTACAGCAGCCACACACCAGCAATGATGATCACCCCCAAATCCAAGGCACGTCTGTCAGTCTCAGCACACAACCCAACGACTTCCCTTAATGTGCCCACTGCCCAAATGGCGCAAATGGTCCCAGCGTGCGGCCTCACACAATGCTCCAGAAGGTGGAAGAACGTTTACATACCCTGGCATCACTATGATTGTACGTTTCGCCTTTGAAGTCGTTGCTGAATCTGGTCTGTTGATGTAACAAGAGGGGGGGGGGGGTTATAAAAAAAAAGGGGTTATTAAAATGCAGTTATTGCTGCTCCCACAGATTGGGAATGAAAAACATAACCAAAGGCTGCAGCACCCGTGTTCAAACATGCAAAGAGAGTTAAACAATGTCAGAAAGGGCTACACAAGACTCACACCATTAAAAAGGTTAGCAGTGAGACATTACTAGACCCAGCCTGGTGTTCTGTATTTAACAACCATTGAAACCCAAATTTCACACCTGGCCAAATAACAGAGGCGGATCAAATAAATGTTGCTGCAGTACAATGGTATTTACGGTAATTAGAAGTGTTTTCCAAGCCTGTGAAACATTTGAAAATGTTAGACTTCACTCCACCGAGGCTAAATGACTAACGCCTGTGAGCACAGCTCTGACACCAAGCACCCCGCAGGCGTAAGAGCGCGACACTGACCCTGCTGCCTGTGTGCCTACGTCGGTTGGACATGGGTGACGTGCTCTGACTCCTCCTGCGCCGGTAGTCCGGGCTGTAGGAGCGTGAGCGGGACTTCTTGCGGTGGGAGTGAGAGCGAGAACGACTGTAGTGCCGGTTGGAGTGTCTCCGTGAGTAAGACCTGAGGGTTGGGAATGGGGGGGGATAGGAAATCTTACACAAACTGAAAAAGTCTTAATGTGCAAGTAAAAAAAAAATCATGATGGGACCAAAACTGATTTTAAGGCTTTCCGCTTTGTGCATTAACGGACATCAGCCCAGTAGCTGTAGACCCACCCATCACTCACCTGGACTTGGAACGAGACCGGGACCTGGACTCCGACCTCTTGGACACCTGCGATGGGCTGTGTGAGGCCGACCTGCTCTCCGACTTAACATGAACCGGGCTGCCGCGGTCCGATTTGGACGGAGAGCGGGACTCCTAATATCACAGCAGCACGTTAAAATGGAACAAGTCATGGCAGCAGCCATCAAATACAAATCATGGCACTGCATGTGCTGTTGAGGAAAGGGTTAGATTACAACCATCTCAATTAGCACAAATGAAAATCAGAAAGGGCATCTACTTTAAGAGAATGTCATTAACAACAACAACAATCCCCTGTAACACATATCCTGTTTCCACCGCGTCACCAATAATATACTACAAAAACAATAGGGATCCAGCACTGCTGGTGCTTGGACCCCTAATCATCATGCATTTTTAGACTACAAATGGCAGCATAGACACTTGGAACATAAACCATACATTTACTTAACCTAGGATACATTCATCCCTCCAGTTTCTGTTTACGCTACTTCGCTCAGGCTTTTTTTCTATTCTTCGTTCTTCGTTTTTTCAGTTTTTCATTTTCTCAATCCGGGTATTCTTCCCCAAATTGAAATCATTTTCATTTTAGACATGACATAACGCAAGTGCTTCTATCTGAACCAATCTTCAGTTCATTTTCCCTTCCCATTTTATTTTCTGATCTGTACACGTTTTCATAAGCCTTCTTTTATCTTGGACATTCTTCCATATTCTTGGATAAAACTCTTCAAATCCTTCACGATCAATAACCTTTATGAAAAAAGAACATTCAGTATAATTAAGAACATGGGATTTAAAAGGAAAAAGCCTGTTTATCATCTACATGAGACAAAAAAAATGAGCCAACTACTTCTCAGATGCGCGTGCATCCCTAGCTACACAAAATATCTACAAATATCTACGATCAAAGCAAGTGAACAAAGTAAGAAAACACTTTCAGGTTCCCTATGAGTATATACGTATGAATGCATCACCAGATACCAAACACACGTTTTAAGACGTCTGATCAAGAAAAGAAGAACTGGCCGGTGAATGAGATCAGAAAAACGGTATTTAGTAATAAGGGGGGAAGAACCGTTCTCAGGCAGACAAAATATCCTGATAACTTGGTTTCACTGCTATAAAAAGCATCTAGGGCCACATAGAGACGTTACCAGCCTGTTGTATATGGTAATGAAATTGGATACGGAGACTCACTGGAAAAAAATGACGCAAAACATTAGCTAGTTGGTAGCTAGCCAACTAGCGCTCAAACACCTAAACATTCACGGCTTTAACGACCTCGCCTGGTCACTATTAGAATCATACAGTAGTAAAAGTTAAAAATAAACTGCTTCAATTTACATTTCGTGATTTTAGCCGCTAGTCAACACGGATGTGCATTACGGGCATTAGCTAGTTCCGTAGCACAATTCAAGTGGTCCAGATGATTGTTTGCGTATCAGTGTTAACTGGTTAAAAGGCAATAACCAGTTGGGAGACTCGGTTATGTGGAAAGTATCAGCATCGTATAAAATGACCCTTTTTGCTTTACGCTGGCCTAAAGTGTTCATTTAGCGTAGTGTGGCCTAGCTATCCTAAATCGCAGAGGCACAAAAAGGGGGAAACTGTACCAAACTCACTAAACGCTTACACATTTCAATAACGTGACAAGGATATAGCTTATAATTACCGGCCTAGTGGTTTTTTTAAGCATACGTAACGACTGTAGCTTTTACGTTTGTGCCGTTTGCCAGGCATATCGATCTAGCCATCTAGCTACAGAGAAAGAGAAAGACAGACCCTGGAAAGAAAGGAAATAGTATCCCTTCAGCGAACTATGATAAAAATACTTACTCGTCCTCCAAAGTTTCCATCCTCAATGTCACTCATTTTAACAAGTGTGAAATAGCGCTAAAAAGCCGACAAACGACCAAATATAACAAAGCGTCGCTTATGGCTCCACTATAGCTAATCGACAACGACGGGCTCTAGAGAAAATGGCGCCGTCTCTGCGAAGCTTTTTATTCAACGACTGCGGAGCGACTGGGACCGGATGACGTCGATGAGGAACCGCCCACTGTCTTCTTCCCGTGATACTTTGCGCACTTAAATTTAAGTATGGAGTTACAAATGGTGGGGAGGTTATGGTATACCGTTTCTGCTGTTTTTAATAGCTGTATAAAAATCCTTGGGCCATGTAGAACATAAAGTTCATGACGTTTTGCTGACCTATAACTGACTTAGCTAGGTGGTGAAAACACTGAAACTTTAGTTGTTTGAAAGCTACTTGACCAGCTACCAACTAGCTGTTTTGTGTCTTTTTTCCAGTGAGTCCCCATATCCAGTTTCAGTTCTACATTATTCACCTTGCATTTTGCCCATTATGAGTCAAGTAATGTTTCATATATGAAAATACCCCTCTCCCCTGCTCTACTTCAAGACCCTCATGAACCCAGTACTGGACCCCTGTATTGGGCAGCACAGGTGGACACCTCTCTGGTATCCTGGATTGTTGACTATTTGATCTGCAGGGTACATTATGCATGACACCAAGACTGTGTCTGAATAGGTTGTGAGCAGCACAGGGGCTCCACAGGGGACTGTCCATTCCTGTTCACATTCTGCACCTCTGACATGTCATCTGCAGAAGTTCTCTGGCGAATCTGCCGCTGTGGAGTGTAACGGTGTAGTGACCAGCTTTGTAGTGTCGGCTGAACCATCTCTAGCTCAGCATCAGTAAGACCAAGGAGATGGTGGTGGGCTTTCCGTCACCATTCAGGGTGAGAAAATCAAGGTGGCGCTGATCTAATGGATCAGCAAGTTGGTGACACATTGGGATGGGCAGCAAACACAGACACTCTGAACTAGAAGCGATGGAGCCTATTGAATTTCCTGAGGATGCTGTAGATTCTATTTTTAATGTCTACAATTATTTATTCATGTTGATACATATTATTTTATTTATCGTACGTTTATGTTATTATTTCTTCTGCCCCTCTCCCATATTGGTGTCTGTTTTTCCCATCAGATTCTGGACTGCTGTAACATCCTAATTTCCTTTCAGGGATCAATAAAGGACTCATCTCATTTCTCCCATAAACAGAATTCGGTGAGGTGCCCTTCTGGAAAATGTGGACTTCTGGAAGTGTTTTCGGTGATCGCATTACTTACGCTATATATATATAAACAGCGACAAGGTGAGATAGCGGCTGACTGGATTTCAGCACTTCTGTGGCTCAAAAAAAATTTCAGGTGAAGCACGAGCCAGAATCATGTTAGAAAATATAAAAATGTGAAAGCAGGGTGTGGGACCCCCATGAACAAAGTGTAATGGGGGCTGGGGATGTCCCCCTTTAATGTAGACAGAATGTGGAAAAAGTACTTTGTGTGAAGCTGGGTGGGGCCCGTTTCACCTTGTGTGACGGGCCAGAAGTGGTGGGGATGTGACCCCCAGATATCCTTACGCAACTGCAGCATTAATCGACAGGTCAAAATCCAGATCATAGAAGGTTCAGAGCAACGCACTAAATCTGGGAGCCTTGGTGGGGGCGGGGGGGGGGGGCAGGGCTGGGGAGAATGAGACAGAACAATGCGATTGCAGTTATGGGGGAGAGGCCCCGGAAAACAGGGACAGCGCAGCATTCCACCACAGGTTTATAGTGTTAAATTTTCAGCGTGCTTGGCCAAAACATAGGGCAGGTGAAGTGAAGTCACTGAAGTTTGTTTCTAATAGGCATCCATTCAATTAGCAATTCTGAAAAACTTTTCTGTGTCAGATTTTCACTGTGTCACCATGCTGGCTTTACCAGGTGATGCCACCTTATACCCCGAGGGTGGGGGATTCGAACCCGGCTGCAGCTCCGAACATGTCAAATGCTTCTTGATGCCGTTAGGTCACTGCAACCCACACTGGAGAAGCAATTAGCAAACATGAAGAAGTCTGTTCAGATACACTGCAAACGGCTCAGCAATCGATGCACAGATTTCTGAGAGGATTGTTCGCCAAGAAATACAAATTCTTTCACAAAAGATTTGCAAGAATGCAGGAAAAAAAATCTTACTATACCTGAAAACGCCACAACAACAATTAGAAATGATTAAAATAGCTTTAATGATCCAAAGAGACAACTTAACAAAAACTGCCAAACAGATGTATTCAAAGTTTGTACATGAAATGAAAACACAGCAAGTGACAAAACAGTGATTAGCACATGTATAATGGAATATTATAAACATGAATAAGTATGGTGGCCTGAAGCAGCCAAAGCAGTTATTTTTTAAAGCCATCGGAGGTAAAACTAGACAAATCATGGATACAGACAACTGTTACCGGCTAAATCCATCTTATTCATTGGCATCTAATGTCTATAAAACATAAAACAATTGTACAGAAACCATAACATTAGATTCTATATAATTTTAGCTCTCTACAAAGATATTAATTCAAGAAAGCAGCTACTTATCAATGGCTTGATTACTGATATATGTGTGGTTTGTTAATTCTTTTCCCCTCTACTTGATTACTTTTTTTTTTTCCTTTTTCCTGAGAACAACCTTTAATTATTGGCCTGAAATGTACACTGGCAAACCTCAGCTGTATAAAGGCAGTACTGTTCTCTATGAACACATGCTTATTTAAAAAAAACACACTGCATAAAGCTGGTGTCTGTGTATCCACTGCAATAATTATCAATGTGTAACAGTGAGCAGAAGCCGTTTAAAAAAAACAAAAAACACAAGGCTTCAATGTTTACGGCTTCTGATTTCACACACTAACCAATTCGCCTCAATTAGCCTTGTTTTGCAAGTGGAGATCAACCCCTCTAAGGATAAATTATGTGTATATATAACTTGATAAAATGTACATTCTACTTTTTACGACGTTTATCACGGATAAACCTAAGTAATGCTCGTATTGCTCCTCTGCATACAGTGCAAATGAAATTCTTTGGATATCATTCATAATTTAAGAAATGCTATAATTTAGGACTATAACATGACGACGGCTGCCTTCATGATCACCCAGCTGCTGAAAGACAAGTGTTTCAACAGGCTGCAGTCGAGTACAAGATATTTAGAAAGATGCCACAGGTGCGGCCAACATATTTACACGAGGAGTATAGTTATTTGGAGCATTCGCCGTCCTGATTGCGAAACAGCGTGGCTGTTGCGAAGTGCGGAGTTACTGACAATTATTATGTGCTTCTATTGTAAGGGCACAAAAGGTGCTGTTGACGCAACGTGAAAAGTCACATTTTATGCTGGAGCAAAACAATGTCTATTAATTCGGTGAGAAAAAATGCCAAGCACATAATTCAGCCAATCAGGAGGCGTTGATATGAAGCGATAGCCAATCGGAGCAAGCAGGCTATCTCCCTTGGCCTGGCTTGTCAGCTGATTCCGGGCGCACGGGGGGCATCTCCTGCCTTGTGGCGGGGGCGGGAACAGGAAGCCCACCGACGCTGTGAGTGCTGTTCGTCAGCGAGCCGTTCATCACCGTGTCCACTTTGCCCTCGAGTTTGACCAGTCGCTGCAGGATGTCATCCAACAGAACGGCAATGGTCCGTTTCAGGTCAGCTGGAATAAGAAATAAAAACGTGAGTATAGCTTTAAATAAAAACCTGTTATTAGGGGAAAAAAACTTGGGCTTAATAAAGTGAGGCCTATACAGCTTTTTTTTTTTTAAGGTATTTTCAAAATTGGGTAAATGGGTTTTCAAAAAAAAAAAAAATAGTTTACCTATCCATTAATTTTCCAGTACAGGGTGAAAGTGAGCCTAAAGCCTGCCCTGTGAAGCACAGGGACACACTGGACGGGATACCGGCTCATCCAAGGGCAAACTCTCATAATTATGCTACTTCGCCCAACTGCACGTCTTTGGAAACCAGGGTGACACAGGGGAGACCCATGTTAACATGGGGAGAGCATGCACACGCACACACACACACTCGCTCACGCGCACACACACACACACACGCACACACACTCGCACACACACTCGCTCACGCACGCACGCACAGAGCGGGGCAGGAATCGAACCCCCAGCCCAGGGGGGGCTGCTACAGCTAACGTGCTATACTTATGATTATCTAGCTATATTTTTTTGTGTATAAAAATATATATAAATAAATTAATGAAAGTTGCATTTATATAGCGCTTTCAGAACCGATGCAGAGCCACGTCGACCACCCCCACTGTGTAGCCCCCACCTGCATGATGCGACAGCAGCCATTCTGCATTCTGTTTTTAAACATATACTAGGATAGGATAGGACTTTATTGATCCCACAGTGGGGAAATTTGTGCGCTACCACAGCTCTAGACAGATAGCCTGAAAAGAGTACAAGAGTAATCCAAGAATATAAAAATACAAGAATACAAGAAAAAAAAAAAAGATAATCATGAAAAGGAATAATAATTAAAATAGCAAAATTTGTTACGTTTTTTTTCTTACGACAAAGTAAAAATGTTTTGCCGAAATCTAAACTCCCTGGGCTACGAAGTCCCTTTACAGAACTCAAAACAAGCAAAAGCCTGATCCAACTGACTAGCGACGTGAGAATTGCATGTGCATAATATAGCACTTCACCCAGCCTTAAAATATACTACAGCTATTTTTTGAATTCAGTACAAAATACCACACCTCGTGCTGTGATGTCATTCAGTGCCTGTGTTATGCTCTAAACTGACCCCCTTCCACAGATTGCCTGCCCTAACCTAATTGCCAAAGCCAATAGTGAAAATTTGCTGACTTCTGATTACTTTTGGTGTTTGGTTCATATCATTTCAGGTGTGATGGTGCCGAGTATGAAGCTAATCGCCGCATTATAGGTATGAAAAGATGACAGAATAAGACACATATCGAAGCAGAATGAATTCAACAGTGTCAAAAATATTAATCGAGTAAATGAATTGCTATTTGTGACTGAAGGTGACGATTTGCTCAAATGAGCGAATTTGAATGAAATCAATGAAATCCTGCTGTGTGTCGGGTTTGAATGAAAAAGTGGTAACTGTCATATTTGCAACGTTTTATAGGAGATTGTTAATCTTAAGGTCTGATTGTAAAATACCGGAATAAACCAGTAATGTGTGTTTTTTTTTCCAGTCAGATTAAGGCAAGAAAAATGAAGGAGAAGAGAAGCAAAGGGGCACTGCCTTTAAAAAGAGCAATTACATCAGGGGAGGTAATCCATGGCAGAGGGGCAGTTTAGAGCACAATACCTGTTGCAGCTTTTACGTCAGTGGAAAACCAACACCTTGAAGTACCAATAGTAAGGTACCTGGCGCAGTGGAAAAGCACTCATTAAAGAGAATGCAGAATTATGGGGGAAAAGTAGGGGCACTGGTTTTGATCCAACTGATGTAATATAATGCAGAAGAAGCGTTGTAATTGAGAAATGAGATTGCATAGTTTTTTGTGCAGCCCTTAATGCCCAGGGATCTTTAATGACCAAAAATAGAGGCATTGCCTCGACGAACGTGCACGGCAGCTACGGGCCAGGACAGCGCAGGCCTACCGTATCCAGCCATGGAGGTTCCCTGCGGCCCAGGAGCGTTCTGGTTCTCCTCGGTGAGCACCTTGACGTATCTCTTGCTGAGGTCGAGGATCTGCTGCCGCAGCTGGGCGCTGCTCTGGTGGCGCGGCTGCTGGAGGGTGTAGCGCATGAGCATGAGGCCCCAGACGAAGCCGAACGCCAGCAGGATGATGCTCAGCCTCTGTGAGACGTTCCTGCGCAGCAGCGGAGCCAGCATGGTCCCGGCGCGGGGTGGGGCGCCCGACCATGGGGCGCGGGGCTCCCCGTGCCGAAAGAGGACCGGCCGCGGCGCGGACCAACTCAATCGGCCAACGTCCGACCCTATAAATCGCAAAAATCACAAGTCGGCATCTAAACGGCAATCCAGCTCTGATAAAGCAGCCACCTTTGTCCTTCGTGAATTCAGCCTGCTGTGCAGATCACACTCATGCTTTGCGATTGTGCACAGATGTTCAATTTTTTTTCTGCATAGATCAAGTCTCATCGGAGCGTTTCAGCTTTTAAAGTCAAGTGAAACTTCCTAGCCGAACATCCTGGAGGCAGGGAGCAATTATTATGTCTTGTTGACTGTTCCTCATCACGGAACACGCTGCCGATATCCGTGCAGGGTGTGTTTAGGTTCTGCTCTCGTGACATGCACGGCACACTGCCAGTGGCTATACGTTTCCCTCTCTTTTTGTTCTTGCCCCTACAAATGCCGATACATTGTTCTAGAACAAACAACAGCGAGCACAGGAATATACATCAAACCATGATACAGCGATGGGTTGTGACCTATCTCCGTGACAAATCTCGCAAATCATTCTTGAAATAAACAATTATGCAAATAGAAGATAAAAATGACTGTAGCGTTCCTGCTTGCTGGGCAAACATTTGCAATTCATAGTCCCGTAATTTATGGTTTTCTAAATACAAGAAACAGCCTAAAACAAACAGATACATTCATGACTGGTCTCTTAGTAAGATATGACAATTTAATCTCTCTAGACAAAACACTTTAAGAATGACAGAGGCCAAAATAATTAGGGTTAACTGCTGAATAAAAATCCATCTGTTATACAGGAAGGTAAATGTTCAGCACATGAATAATGTAAAAGGTTATAGCAGGACCAAGCCCCCATAACCATCATGCCCGGCTTACAACCTCAGTCGTTCTCTGTAGTCACAGCACACATACAAACAAGCGACAGGGCTGCAAGAGAACATTAGCAGATTGGCCACGACCAAGAGCAGACCGGACACCTAGTACAGCCGACCTCGTCCTAATCAGAAGAGATCCTCGTATTGGATTATCACACGTGTCGTTTTTTTTTTTTTTTTTTTTTAGGACAACACGGGAAACCAGCTGGGTGTTCAGGATCGTTCCCAGCGCAATGCTTGCCTAAGGCATAAATTACAGAGATGTCTGACTATGTACCTGAGCCACTGTTTCTCAGTCAGGCAAAACTTGCTCTGCAGAGAGTTATCTGTGCGGCGCGCTGAGTCAGGGGCAGGGGATGGAGGAGCATAACGACGGGGGGGGGGGGGGTACCTATACAAAATTTGGACACAGCCATTTTTATAAAACCACAGTTCGCAGTGGTCTGGTCGGCACACACTTGAGTGTCTTTTATATAAACAGACACACAAACAGTGGAGCACTTAACAGGGTATGTCCATCAACTCCCAGATACTACATCACCATGCATAGGTGCAAGACATCTGAATTGTGGATTTCAATATCCTAAAGGATCACTGGTGCCAGAAGCACATGCAGCACACCTAGCTGACATGCCACGTAATGTCTGGAAGCAGGGGATGACAAATAAGGTCAAACTGGTCAGCTGGAGCGAATCCGCTCAAGACTTAAACGCAGGCCTGCTGCAAGCCAGCAACCCAGGGAACATTCCAGAACCCCAACCCCGTCATATTCCACATTCAGGTCATAGAAATAATCCCGAGGAGACTTTCTCCCCTCTTAAACAATTCACAGTCACTTGTAATATGTGGTAAGACACATGCAGACAAATTATGCTATTAATGAAATATTTAGAAAGGTGTAAACACTTTACGAAGCAACTCCTGCAATGCCGCGTCTGAGGTGAAAAGATGTCTGGCGTGCTGTCACCACCAGTCCCCATCTCCCCTAGGAGTCACAGTCCAAGATCATTAACAGTGCAAGCAATTACTGCTAAAAAGCAAGGTTTGTTCTTAAAAAAAAAGGGCGGATTAGGTAAAGTGGAGAGCATTCAACCCCACTAAAACCAAGCAAGACAAAGTCAGACGCACGAACAAGCAGCGGCTTTAGAGTAAAACATTTATATAAGGCTACAGATTCTGATCAGGTATTTTGCACCTCTGATCACCGTCTCACTCAATCATCCAAGGTCATCGCGGAACGCGTGACTGTTACGTCACAAATCCCAATTATCCTATTAGAATTACCCTCGTGCACTTTTGCATCTAAGAATCACATTCCAATAAAAGTAACGGGACAGATATGCCTCGTACTTTACCTGACGTGTGGGTGAAAATATTCAATCCCCGCAAATTCACAGAAAATCATTCAAGCTGATCATAAAGTTTAAAATAAGATGCAAATTATAATGCTTAATAAATGAGTGCCTTGTGTTCTTTGCGTGTTGAGATAAACACGTTATTTATACAGCGGATACTTGGATGAACTTCAGTGACGTTGCACTAAAAGCCCAATGGGTAAGAGCGTGTAGTCTGATATCTCTGCTTTTGTACCTTTAAAAGGTGTGCACACTTAACCTGAATCCGTGCTGTAAAATTACCCAGCCATGTAAATGGCTGAAAACCGAATAAACAATGATACTAGTCGCGGTGTAATTTAAAGATACGATAAAAAGCTTCTTGGGAAAAGCTTAACGCCTGAACCATTTCACGCCATTACACTCCAGCTGCATTCGTTGTCCACGCAACTACCAAGTAACTTCACCGAATACCATTTTGCAGCCCAGGAGCTTCAATTCATACCGGATATATGCGGAACACATCCAGCGAGTTCTGTAAAGCGTCCTTCCGTTTTTATATCGACGGGCAAGACACGCAACAGAAATAAAACCAAAATAAATACAAATTTCGCATGGCCAAACAAAGCCTAGTCTCAAAATTAAAGTTAAAATGGTCTTACCTTATATACCATATTTACAGCAAATGTTATTTCAGTTAATCTCAGGCGACGAGGTTATAAATCGTTTGGTGGATAGCTTCTAGCTTTTAAAGACCAGTAGACGACTCTTCTATTGCAATCGTTATAACGATGCGCACCAATTGCGCATTCCCTAATATAGTTTCTGCCGGTGCTTTCTTTGCCAATATTTAATGTCAGAATCGCACGCTTGCTCTACGACCCACATTCCAAAATTCATCTTTCTGAATCGTTTTGCATCACCACGTCGAAACGTATTTTGAATTGCATTCTGGGAAATGTATTTCTGATGTTGCATTGTTGTCAGTATATGACAATAAAACTCGAACCGGTTGATTTACAATCAACTGCTACACTATAGATGCTCACATGAAACGACAATATGTAAAACGAGCTTTAGCTGGGGAGAATATGCAAACTCCACATACAAAGGGAAAAGTGGAAATTCGAACCCCCTAAAACGGGAGGTGGGAGGCAACATTACTACCGTTTGAGCCATCGTGCCACAAACTATTTCAGGAAACTGTTCTTATATTACAGCCTCTTACATATGTGCAATACACGGTCGAGGCGTCGTCCTGCTCACTGAACACAATACGGCCAAAGATGTACAACACATATATGGACGGCGGCTCATCGTTGATAAAAGCATCTGTGCTGAATTTTGAGGACACATGGCCGCAGCAGTTTAACGGATCCGCGCATGCGTAATGTAGTAGTCACGCGCTGGACTCGGATATGCTCTACTACCTGTAACTTAGCAACGGTGGCGCAGTGTGCACCAACTCAGGTACATAGCATTCACCAGTATGTTTCGTACTTTTGTAACGGCGCTATTAACGCGATGGACGTAATACGTGTGAATAAGAGTGCGATCACTGCAGTTGAAGACTACCTAGAATACAGAAGGTCTGTAAGTTGCCGCGTTTTGCTCTTAAGTCTGTAAGCATTGCACTGAACAATCAATGAGAAAGAAGTTATGTAGACGCGTGATTTGAGGCTTGTTCTGCTAAAATCAGCATTGAAAACAAACCTCGAACATTGTATAATTACTCATAAATAATGTGATTTTCTTTTCCTTATAATAATCCCTATTTGTGCGAGTAGTGTGATGGTACCACCTCGGCGGCACACAAGGGAATGTTTCAGCTTAGATAACATACCAAAAGGCTCACAGCAGCTCTCCCTGATATATACGAAGACGCCATGCATTGTTTTCTAAGATGGTGTGCCTGTGGAATCCTGAAGCAGCGTGCTTTGTGGATAGACTGCACTTGCAAACTTGATCAGATTATAAATAAACGGGGAGACATATGGGATTGCAGAATTCATTTTTGCCAACCACTTTTAGTTCCCCATGTCTTGCTCCTCCTGAGAGCTGTCCGCGCCGTTCAGGTTGATCTTTTTGCGGCTTCTGCAGCACTTAGCCGGGCTCTGGTCAGCGAGTGAGGGCCAGTTAAAGCGAAAGATGAGCGGAGATGCGGAACTGATGGAGGCTTCTGCCGTTCACCAGAATTGTTGGCGAGGATGATGGGGGGATACTCTTCACCTCTGAGCAATATGCGGCGTACAAGCAGCAGGTTTTGCCGACTAGGCTGCAGAACAGGCTGTACGTGAGCTGTGGGGTCCCGGGGGGCATGGATTGCAAGCTCATTGGACCGGAGACGCTGTGCTTCTGCTCACACAGGTGCGATCTCTTTCTGTCACCCCTCGCCACCCCGTTTTATCTGCACTCCCGTGGGATCTGTGCTCATTTCTGTACACGTAAAGGCTTGAGGGTTTCCTACGTCACTGTGCCTGCACACATACCTGCATCTGTTGAGTTCTAATTTTAATGCTTACATGTATCGGCACTAGCCGTTGGTTTCCATTTTCCAAAATCTATATGTAGCACTGATTGCCTCAAAACAGCTGAATTGCAATGTTCCCCTAAATAATTGTAGTTCAGGAAAATTTACGATTAATGCTTTAGACCATTTAGAAAATGGATGGATGGTGGATGGATGGATTGGGAGGATGGATGGGTTTCCCAGGTTAGACTCCAGATGACCTAAAACCCAACTGGATGATGATGAATATCAGCTGTGAGCTTTTTGTTACCTGTATGTTCAATATTCTGCTTTCACGGGATACTCTGGATGCCTGTATGATAAATGCATGGCTTTTAGAGCACCTCCATTTGGCTTAAGGTACAAGCAGCATCAGACGGACTTTGAGAAGGTGCCCTTAGAGCGGCCGCTGGCTCTGCCGTGCCGAGTCTCCAGCTGCAGCTGCACCTCCTACTCCTACATCCACCTCAACGGCTCCCAGCCAGTCCGCTGCCGGTGCAAGCACTCCGCCCAGGACCACAGCGAGGCCGGCGGGCGCCGGTGCAGGAAATGTGAGTGCGGTTCCCTTATGCCGCCACATGAGGCGCACGGCCAATTCGGGTTGGCGCGTGTGGGGAGACAGCTGGAGAGAAACAACATGCGACGGCCCTGGTTGCGCTCTTGCCGGCAGGTTCTACATGCGCTGCGTTCTACAGCCCTTATACCTGCAGTTGTGGCCAGCCTAGCTACGCCCACAAAACCCTGGTTGAGACAAAGGAGGAGCGCTTGGCACGGGGCATGCCCGTGGGGCAGGACGTCCCGTACGTTGCCATGGGAGGACTGACGGGATTCAGCTCTCTGGCTGAGGGCTTCCTGAGACTTGAGAACCGCAGGTTGGGTGAGACCATGCACATTGTAACTAAAGGCACATAGCAGCAAACTGGAGTATAGATATTCTACTCAAGGAGAGTATCTACTAGATCAGACAAACGCACAGCACTGCACCGTACAGAGACGAGATCAGAGAGGCTGCATTTTCGGCTACTACCATCAGTCATTAAGTCATTAGCTCTTTCTCCTGTCGGGCGTAAGAAATGTAAACATTTGGAATCAAGTGTGTTATCTCGTGTTCTTGTTTACGTCAAGAAGTGAAGAAAGTTTATATTTCAGATGGCTTGGCATGGTAAAGTTTTTGGAAACCGTCCGCTGTTTGTTTGAGGGATTCATTTGCTTACGTTAAACGTGGAGGACTCCCAGCAGGGGGTGTGTTCTCTAACATGTTGGGACCCTGCTTTTGTGAACTTTTTGGGGGGGCAAATAGGCAATCCTCCGTACTCTGGACTGGAACTGGCTGGATCCCGATCCTCCGTTGACTGTTGGTTCGAGAAGGCCGACGGGGCGTGTTCTCAGACTGCAGGTAAGGTTATACGAAGTCGCCATAGCAGTAAAACACTTCTAGTGTCCCTCTTTGGTTTGTCTGCACAAATGTAGAAATCCTCGAATATCCGTGAAATTCAAGGCTTTAAACATTGCAGGAGTGTCAGCTGAATATTTTAAATAAGATTTGTTTGTGTCTTTAAGCGATCAAATCTAAATGGTTGCAATACTAGTGGTTTCCCTGCCTTTGGTCATACCTTCTAATAGTAGGAGTGCTGTCACTTTGATGTGCTGGTGTGTTTGGATTTTGTGAATGACAGAACAGTCTGAACAGTGCCGTCTAAAGTCTGTATCTGTCCAGAAGCTCATCTGGAGGCAGTAGCTCAGGCCCAGCGAAGCCGTCACAGATCAGTAGAAGCGTCATCAGAGGCTTCCTGCATGGTTATGGCAAGGAGTACATTTGTAAATGTCAGTGCGCCATGTTCTTGGCTGTCTTCTGGCTCGGCACTGAAAATGTATAATTCGTTGAGGGCTACAATGAGTGACAGCCGCAGATGTGACATCGCCACATCTGGCGAAACGTGTAAACACACCCGCTTCAGAAAACTGATCCTCCTGCAACAGATGCAAAGTTTCAGTGTCTCACGGTAACTCAGAATTGTTCTCATTATATTCGTTTAACCGTTCAGGCACAGGACACTTCTGCAAAAATTAAATGCAAATATTAAAGACATGCAACGTTAGTTAGATTTAAGAAAATGTCAGCTGTATGTTGGAATCATTGCGTAAATGCTTGGTCTAGACTGCTGAGTCTTCTGTGATCATGTCCTTCCATTTAGAGTCTGTTCCACAGTTTAAAAAGTCTCCTCCTGCAGAACCAAGGGGTTCTGAAGTTGTCCAAAGCAAAACAATTCAAATGAATGACAATAACTTCATCTAGAGTTCAGTCACACAGTGGTGTGTCCACTGTGAGCATCACGGGAATTGTATGTGACAGACTTCTGGTCTATAATGAACAGACATAAACTCACTGAAGCAGAAGAAGTCAGACTTGAAGACAAGGGAAGACGAAGACATGGCCGTCTTTGAAAGACGATACAAGGAGAGGGTGAGTGGTGGCAGAGGGCAGTCAACCTATATATATATGTGTGTGTGTGTGTGTATCTTGTTAGATGGCTAGATAAACCTCCTATATAACATACACACAAACTCACACACACACACGTACTCTTGTAGAAAGTATCCTCACAAATGGCATCACTGTCTGGTTTGGGAACACCACTCAGGCAGAGAGGAAGGCTCTACAAAGAGTCATAAAGGCTGCAGAGAGGATCGTTGGAGCTGACCTCACATCCATGGTCACTCTCTGCACACAACGCGGCAGGAAAAAAGCCCGGAGCATCCTCAGGGAGCCACAGCACCCAGCGCACTCTCTGCTCAGGCAAAAACACTCAGCATTTAACCTGAGACACTGCAGGCTGTACAGTATCATCACACACGAAGCACGTTTTTATAACATCCTCTTTCCAGCCATACTTGGTGACAGAAGATATAACAACAGAAGGGAAAACATGCCAACATAACCTCTGATGTGCAATATTTCTTAAACAAAAGCAGTGTTGGTTTACAATGTGTCCAACAATGTTTTACTGTAGCATTATGACGCAATATTCTCAGGCGTGCAGCACTTTTAAATAAAAATCTGTGTTGTGTTTTACTTTGTTAACAGTGTACACTGGTCTACGGCGTGCACTTTAATAATGGCTGTTTCACTGCACTTCATAGTGTTTCACTGTTGCCTATTTTTGCACCTCGAGATGTTTGAGTATTTTAGTTGCGGATTTCATTCTATTTTACAATGTCTTCTTACTACTTATCATTTGCCCTTATTGCGTTTCCTGGCTTTTGATTACTTCTCTTCTTTACTGCCTGTGCGTGTACAAATGGAAAATAACTCTCTTGAACTATTAATCCCAAGCTGGAAATGACCACTAGGGTCTCGTCACGCTAGGCCCCAAACCAGCCCTTCCTGTCTTTCTGGTGTTACAAAAAATAGGTACTTCTTGTGGGAAGCAAGCAAACTAATGAACTAATGAATTGAATATAGGAAAACATTTTAAAAGCACTAATTTCTAGAGATCCGCTTAGCTTTCGGCAAATTACTCTAGTGCAATTAGCGTTATGCTGTATCCACATTGTCGAACTGACCTCAGCTTACAAATGCAGCTTAAACACAAGTGATTCACTTAAACTCTGGTTTCAGCTGGAAATGGAGGAAGCGAGGAAGCAGAAGGTGCTGCCACCGAAAGGGCCCCGACCGTCCGCCACTCCTCAGAGGAACCGCGGCAGGCCAGAAGGGTGATGTTTCCTGTATCATTTGCGGTGCGCGGTTTGAGTTTACTCACTCTGTACTTCTGTTACAATGCAATGGATATGTTTTAGTAAAGTTGGATTGCTGTATGCTATACTATTTTGATTGAATATACGTTTAGAAAAGTCAACTGCCGAAGTACATTCTGTAATGTATAGCAGCATCCTCCAGGGGTCAGCAGTGCTCCGCCATTCTCTACTGTGGTTTTTTTTTCTTGATTGAATGGAATTTAAGAGTTTTTGGGATAAAAAAGGGCAAATTACATGCTTGTCAGTCCAATCCTTCAGTAATTGAAATGTAATTGTGAATTAAAAGTAATTGTCGAAAAGCAGCATTCCAGCTGTTTCCAAATGGGCTACTTTCACACCTTTGGTAGCTCCACGAAATGCAAGGGTAATAACAGTCAGTCAGTTAAATTAATTAACTAATTGAGCTGTTGATGAAATTTAACAAAAACATAGAGGAGCCCTGGAGGAAAGTTTTGGGAACCAAAATAGTGTTTTTCAAGCCATGCAACAAGATATCAGTAACTTTTTGGAGAACAAAAGGAATGCTTCTTTATTTTTTATTGGGTTACTGTACATTTGCATATGATCTAATGCAGGGGTCACCAACTCCGGTCCTGGAGAGCTACTACCCAATAGGTTTTCTATCCCAGCTGGCTTCTGATGAGCCACACCTGCTCCTGGTATTTACCTGAGAACTAGTGTGACTCATCAGAAGCCAGGTAGGATAGAAAACCTACTGGATAGTAGCTCTCCAGGACCGGAGTTGGAGACCCCTGATCTAATGTTAAATTGTGATTTTTTTTTTCTTCTAAGCAAATATATACTTCCTATCCCTTACCATTAAATATTTTCTTTGACTACCTTAGACTGTTGCACCGTACTGTATATAGACATAACACAGATTATGAGACATTATGATTGATGATGGTCATAAAAGCATAGATATGACCGGATCCTGGGGCATGTAAACAGTCAATGTACCTTATATGGCCAAAAGTATGTGGACACCAGCTTGTCCAACATCTCCTTCTGAAACCAAGGGTTTACGTATGAAGCTGGTCCACCCTTTGTTGCTGTAATAGCCTGTGCTCTTCTGGGAAGGCTTTCCATTACATGCTGGGACATTGCTGGGGGCATGTGCTGCCATTCAGGTTCTGGGTGATCAGGTCCCTTTCTGTGAGCTTGTGGCTGCCACTTCATGACTGATCTTGCTCCTAGACGTTTCCCCTTCACAATCACATCACTTACAGTTGACCAAGGCAGCTATTGTAATGGAGAAATTTGGTTAACAAACTTGTGGGAAGGATCACTAATCATTTCTGGATAATCATCCATTTTGCTGCCAGTGTTTGTAGCTGGAGACTGTGTGGTTGTGTTCTTCATTATACATGGATGTCAGATGTGTGTGTGGATTAATTAGCCAGTTCCTCTAATCAATAAGGGTGTCCGCACTCTTTTGGCCGTATAGTGTATGAATGTTAGGAATGCTCAGCAGTTGTGTTTTTGACATTTCAAAAATAAGTCAAAAAGTCAAGTTTGATGTATCCTGGAGTTTTGTATTTGTACAATATACTGATCATCCTGTATGAATATCCAGCAGTATGCATGTTGTGTAGACTTCATGTGTCACATCCTGCCCTCTGCTTCCACCTGAGCCTCCCGTCTCCTCTCTGGCGTGATCTTAACAAGCCATGCCTGTTACTATTTTGTCTTACCTCTTGTTCCTAAATCTCAAATTAATCACTCCCAGCTGCCTCTCATTACCTCCCTTGTTAGTTCCATATATACGTGCTTCCCAGTCCTGTGTTCCCCAGTCCATTCATTGACGTTGAATCTTCTTGTTGTCTGTGCCTTACCTCATTCCAGTCCTCCCATTTCGATCCCTCATGATCTGGTGTATTTCCAGCCTCGGATCTTTACGTTAATTTTTGTTTCATCACCATGCCTGCCTCCGAGTCCTTTGTCCCACCGGTCGTGACATCATATTAAATTATAAAACCTAGAGTGTAAATGAAAGATGTCTAAATAATGCAGTAGGAACATGAGGACTTTGGACTGAAGGTGATTAAGTCCCAGGAAGGGCCTTTGAGTCAAGGACTAAACGTTACAGCAGCTGCAGTGAAGTATCAAGCTGCAAAAATATGTGAAAGTTTGTGTTACGTCATTATGATGGGCAATAACATACGTCAGTATCTGTTTTTCAAATCGTCAAAAGCCACTTCCGTGAAATTTGTCTTTTGTTTTAAAGATCAATGTGCAAATCCAGATTAGAGCTGTGCTTTGTCGAAACTAATAAAAGGATTATGGGTATTTAAAGTAACAGGTACAGTGAATCCATGCTGGCTTTTTGACTCCCTATATCCACACCCATCCGGAGTCAATATGGCTGGCCAGACTGAAAGAGCCTCATCTTTGGTGTAGTTGTTTTGACGAGTTATTTATTTGGAGAGCCCCTCCCTCTGGGAAACTTCCTGGGGGTGTCACGATTTTTATTCATTCTCACATTACAGTTAAATCTAAATACATCTAGGTTCATGCTGGCGGGTGGTGTGTAGCGCAGTGTATTGGGGCACTGTGCCTGCAAACAGAAGGTCGCTGGGTCAAATCCCAGGGTTGTCAGAATGATGTCATCATTGGGCCCCTGAGGATGGCCCTCGGCCCCCAGTTGCTGCAGGGACTGGCTGACCCTGCTTCCATTAAAGTAAATGTGTATCGCTTTGGGTAAAAGCTAAATAAATTCGATGTAACTATAAGTAGATCTCACCATCTATACTTTATCTCTACAAAACTCACTCTCCTGTGTTTTAGCAGAGGGGTCCAAAGCATTTATAAATTATCAGGTTTAATGATTGTGGGGAGAAAAAAAAGCCTTGCATTTGAATAAACAGGGGCATGTGTATGATATATTTCAATATGTCAATTTGTTCAATATCACCCATTTGTACATAGAAAATGTCAAAAAAAAAAAAAAACAATGTTATTTCTCGATTAGATAAGATTTCTAATCATCTCAGAGGACTTATAAGAGCTTATAAGACAAATTGCTGGTTTAGCTAACAGAATCTTTTTGGGTTTTTGCCATCATTATAAAAAATCCCATAATATGACCCTTTCCAAAATCGCTCCTGGTCAACTGTGTCTTTGCCAGGTTCTCTGGGTGATTCAATTGCTGTACCTATCTACCCAAACATGACTAGGGGCTGGGTGACCAGGGTGACAAATTGCCGGTTCCCAGTGCCAGGTCCTTCCCTCAAAAGTGCCCCTTAGAGAAATTCCGTATCATTACGTGCAGTTTGTGCCGCCTTTTGCCCAGCTGAAATTTGTAGAGGAGCTATTATGGTTTTTATCTTTAGTATAACCAGGGCATTTGGGGCTTAAAAAATTTCAGTCCCTGAAGTTTAAAAGTGATATTTTACTCCTATGTCTTTGGAGGCATCGTTTTGCAGAGTAACTGCGTCAATAATCATATGTCCTTGAGCGTCATTTTAATATACGCAGACATTTGCTCGCTTGCTTGACGGTGACCGATCCCACTGATTATGAAACATGCAAAATAAGAAAAAAAAAAACAGAGAGAACTGCACCAACAACCAGGCACGTCGCTAGAAATTCTGGGCCCACTGACAAAAAGTCACCTTGCTTCCCCCCCCCTTCGGCCGCACGATTGTACATATAATTTTACGTGTAATTTTACGTATCCAAGGACTCCTGTTGAGTGCTGGGCCCCTGAATCTCTCAGGGAATCCACACCCCTACTGCACCCCTGTCGAAAAAACGAACTTTCAAAGAAAATATCACAGCCACACAATGACGTCGATTTGTGACCTGCAGTATTGTTAACGTTGGGGCATCATTGGGGTCAAATTCATCTACTCATAATGTGTAACCCTACGAATGACTCCATCGCAGTAGCTGTGAATCAGGCATGTCGGGCCATGTCACAAATTATAACGTAACGATGAACTGAATCAAAGTAGATGTTACTAGGTGGCATTTGTTGTGATTCAGATTTACAGTATAAATTTTTTGCAGTGACATAGTAAGAGTTACAATGCTAATATCTTTTTATATGGTAAGACAATTTGATTGGAGTGCAAGCATAATTGCATAATGTTTCTCAAGAACAATTGTGCAACAAACTTGCATATCTAGATATCTCATTAACTTTAGCTTATGTAAATGATCTTTCAGAGTCCCGCCTACTATTTTCTGGACTCAGGTAGGAATGGATCACATTACAATGCTATTAAATGTGTAGCAACACTAAAGACTCGGGGATTAGAGTCAATTCACAAGAAAGCATGACAGATGAGGCCTGTAACCTGTAACTCTTTAGTTTGCTGGAACCCATTTAAGTGCCTTTGTACAAAAATCATATACACTATTATACTCAGTACAATGTGCAGTGAAATGCGCAGTTGCCAAGCCAGAGACTGTGAAAGAACACGTAACTTTATGAAAGCGTATTGTATTGGCCCCCAATCCAGACCAATCCAGTTATGTTCCAAAATTTCTTGAGCCAGAAGCTCTTCCTCAGCCTGTCTGCGCTGGCCTTCAGAGAGTGAGAGCATTTGCCCGATATCAACACAGAGGAGAGGCCACTGACTGAGGTCCCTAACGGTCTTCTTGGCTGTGGACCTACATCTACTGACAAAAATGTTCTGGAGGTGGACAGTTCCTGTGCAATTGTGCATTCGGCTGAGATGAAATAGGTGCTGGTGAACCTTCTCCATTAGAGAGTCAGTGTGAATGGAGCAGGTCAGGTCCCCAGTTATGTGAACACTGAGGTACCTGAAGTGGCCCCTCATCTACTAAAGCACTATTGATCCTGACGTGGTCACGGTTTCTCTTCTGTTTCCTTCTGAAGTTCACAGTCAATTCGACTCAACAAAAGCATTCATTAATCTGTATGTGACAGTAATTTGAGATAAGACTATAATGGTCTCCACTCATTGTGCGTTTTGTTTAGTCTTTTGAATAGTCATTTTGAAATCAGTTCCACGGTTCTATTATTGATAAATATATGATTTACATTTTTGACCCTGAGTAATAGTTGGGATTGTTGGAGACACTTAACACACCCATATATAATGTATTATAGATACCTTCATAATGCATTATAATGGCTTATACTGACCATCATAATGCATTATGAAGGTATCTATAGTGCATTATAGATGAGAGCTTCATAGAGCAATCATAATGCATATTAAACATGGCTATAATATTTTATGACTTTTTCTGATCAGTTATAGCCATGTTTATATTACTTTATGAATGCATTATAATGCATTATGAAGGTATCTATAATGCGTTACGATGACTGCTTTAAGTAAAGTCTTACCAAATTGTTTGACCCTCTTTGTCAGGGATTTAGCAGTAGTTTTATATAGGTAGCCTCATGACCTCAGGATCATGGGTTCAATTTCCTGATTCAATACTTGGTGAGACAGCATGACCTCTTCGCGTGGATCTGCAGTTGTCATGCAACGTCATTGTCAAACACAACACGTTTTTTTCCAAGGAGTGAGACAAGAGCAGGAAGATTTCTGGATGTCATTGGTTCCCAAGTTCACTGCTAAGCCCATCACTTCAGGCACATGACTGTCCATCTTCACCTCGACAGACTATGTGATCTGCCTTTAAATTCC